TCATGATCATAACTGAAAGTGAAATCTTCATTATTTGATCCAAAATGTTTTTTATATATAAGATTTTATTTATTTATTCATCAGAGAGAGAGCACGCAAGCACAAGCATGGGGAGTGGCAGGCAGAGGGAGAAGCAGGCTCCCCGCTGAGCAGGGAGCCCGATGCGGAACTCGATCCCAGGACCCTGAGATCATGACCTGAGCTGAAGGCAGATGCTAAGACTGAGTCACGCAGGAGTCTCTATTTGATCCAAATTATTTAAATTGTTTAAAAGAGATATTCAGAGAGGTAAATTATTCTTGTCAAATTCTTGTTTTTCACTATTTTCAAAATAATTTCCACATTTAGGTGGTTGAAGGATAGAGCCAGAAAAAGTATTACTAAGTTACAGTATAGCACAGTAGAATAATTCACAGCTTAAAAACGCATATGATGAAAGCAGAAAACATCATTTTTATCACTTAAAGCCCATGAATATATAAATATCAGCCTCTTTGTTTAGAGATAAAATTTAAAAGCAAAACAATAAAATCAATTATATGCAACGATTCTTATTGCCTTGGGTATCATTGCTAGTGTCTGTTTTGTATTGTAGGAGAAGGAATATCAGCTTCTATTCTATGTCTTAGCTTGTTTTCAGAAAAGGTTAGGTCCAAAATACTGTCTTTTAAGTGAGAACTGGAGTTGAAATAGCCCATTTCCTACGTATTCTTTATCACCTGACCTTGCAAATTGTCCTCATTGACTCCAAATAAGGTTCTAAAAAGTTGAGTGCTTACCTTGTGATCAGGGTTTTGTTAGGTTCAGAGCAACTGTGAAATTTTACAAATTACCATTTTGACTCTAAAGTCAGTAGGGGAAACAAGCTGTTCTAACATACTCTGATGTGGAGAGTGGTTGCAAAAATCTCTCCTCTCCCCACTCTTGATTTGCATGTAAGATCTACTATGCCATCAGGGTCAGGACCTGGTTCCAGTATTATTAAGTATCATTAATTATTAATAAACCTAATATGAGGCAGACACTGTGCTGGCCCCCCGGGGTATAAAATGGAGAGTAAAGAGGGTATGTTTCCTGTCTTCACTGTATTTGTAGACTGCTGGGGGAGAGTGGTAAGAAGCTATTACAACTAAGTGTGACAACTGCCATAGACAACAGTGACTTCTTTAACTTTCAGTAACTTCTAGAATTCCAGTCTTTCAAACTGTAGGTTGCTACCCATTAGTGAATCTTAAAAGTGCATTTTTAGAGTAATTTTTAAAAAGTAATTAAAAAATCAATGCACAAAAGCAGAGAGAATGATACAGCGAGCCCTGTACCCCCATACCCCAGGTTTAAGAATGAATAAGATTTTCTTTTTTTTTTTAAAGATTTTATTTATTTATTTATTTGAGAGAGAGAGAGAGAAACAGCATGAGAGGGGAGAGGGTCAGAGAGAGAAGCAGCCTCCCCGTTAAGCTGGGAGCCCGATGTGGGACTCGATCCCAGGACTCCGGGATCCTGACCTGAGTTGAAGGCAGTCGCTTAACCAACTGAGCCACCCAGGTGCCCTATATGGATGAAATTTAAATTTCATGTAATTTTCACATGATACAAGCTATTCTTCTTTTGATTTTTTCCAACCATTTAATTTTAATTTTTTAAAAGATTTTATTTATTTGAGAGAGAGCATGAGAAAGAGAGAGAGAGAGCACACAAGCTGGGGGAGAGGCAGAGGGAGAGGGAAAAGCAAACTCCCCACTGTGCAGGGAGTCCTTCGCAGGGCTCGATCCTAGGACCCTGGGACCATGACCTGAGCCTAAGGCAGACGCCTAACCTACTGAGCCACCCAGATGCCTCATTTATTTATTTTTTTACAAACTTTATTTATATAGGGAGAGAGAGAGTGTGTGCATGTGAGCCAGGGGGAGAGGCAGAGGGAGAGGGAAAAGCAAACTCCCCACTGTGCAGGGAGTCCTTCGCAGGGCTCGATCCTAGGACCCTGGGACCATGACCTGAGCCTAAGGCAGACGCCTAACCTACTGAGCCACCCAGATGCCTCATTTATTTATTTTTTTACAAACTTTATTTATATAGGGAGAGAGAGAGTGTGTGCATGTGAGCCAGGGGGAGAGGCAGAGGGAGAGGGAGAGAGAATCTTAAGCAGGCTCCATTCCCAGTGCAGAGCTGACATGGGGCTCGATCTCACAACCCTGAGATCATGACCTGAGCTGAAATCGGGAGTTGGATGCTTAACTGACTGAGCCACCCAGGCCCCTATTTTTCAACCATTAAAAAATATAAGAACCATTCTTACCTCTTGAACAAAAACAGACAGATTGCCAGATTTGGCCTGCAGGCTGTGCTATGCCAACCTTTGGCATAGATGAGAGAGCATGAAGGAATGGTTTTCAGACAGGGTTGCACATTGGAATCACCTGTGGAGCTTTCAAAATTATTACAGACATCTGGGTTTAAATTCAGAGATTGTGAGTAATCGGTCTGAGTGGGCATCCTGGTTGCCTCTGAGCCCTTGCTCCCTAAAGTAAGTCTCTAAAGGGCTCCCTAGCATAGAGTTAGACTTTCTGAGTTGTGGCAGAGCTCCTTGCCCTCAAAGTCACTTGTTTTCTCTTCCTACTCTTTCCTGTTTTTTGTCCTTAATTATCACACATTTTCCCCTTTCTTTGGTTCTATCAATTTTCCTGATTTTAATCTAGTTCTATTTTGGTAAGAGGGACAAGAATGGGGTTTAATCTAATACTAATGTCAGAAATCTAAGTTTAACATTACCAACTAAGAAAAAGAATGAGAATTTAAATTCAGTTAGTCATTTTATTTTCCATTCTTTATTTCTCCAATTGCCTAGGTTCTGAAATAGGAGAAATGGGTAAAAATTCTGTCTCCTTCTCTTTCCCAGCCCAAGTGGCTTGCAGAGTGAATGTGATGAGGTTTTAGATAAAAAATGGAAATTGTGTTTCTGCAAATGACTCTTAATAATGACTGCACTCCTGGGATACAGGACTGTGGTTCACTAAGTCATTTAAAGAATGATGTTTACTCTCCTGTAAAGCATTCATTCTAGAGTCCTAGTTTTGGTCGTCCTATTCTTTGGCTGGAAGTCAGAGAGTGCCAGGAAGTTGGTATAATGGGCAAATTGGAAGGGTTGGAAGGGAAGCTCTCAGGAGTAGGAAGGACCATAGTATCCACGACCAAGTACTTCTTGACTATTATTCAGGAGAAAAATAATATCAAGATGTTACTCCAAAAGAGGATGTTTTATTTTGACAGAGAAAGGACTCCATTTTTTCACCCAAAGAGAGAGCCAGAAAAAGAATCCATGAGTTAAGAGACTTAAGAGGCATATCAACCCCAATGTATGGACCTTATCTGGTTCCTGACTCAAACACAGTGTAAAACCAACCAACCAACCAACCAACCATCAAGTGGGGAAATGTGACACTGACAAAATATTTGATGAATTTTAGGAATTATTGTTAGTTTTGTTCAGGTGTGATAATGGTACTGTGTGTATGTATGTGTGTGTGTGTGTGTTTTAAAGAGCGACTACCTTTAGAGATACCTACTAAAATATTTATAAATGATATCTGAGATTTATTTAAGATAATCAGAGTTGGGGAGGAATGGAGGGTGATATTGATAAACAAGATTATCCATGAGTTGATAATTACTGAAGCTGTGTGAAGAGGGTTGATTATTATTGAAGCCAGGTGGTTAGTGGTTAGTATATATGGGGGATCATTATACTCTTCTCTTTTATATATACTTAGAATTTTCTATACATTCTTTAAAGCTTGTTTACCAACTCAATGGGAGACTGAAACCTGACTGGGTCTAGCATGGTGTGGATTCCTTGGCTAGACTCAGTTCTGGCTTAAATCCCCTACTTGGTCCCAGGCATCACGGGCTTGTGGATTACCCCAGTCTACAGGGGCCCTGGATATTAGGATCTTCGACAGACTATGCTTTTGTCTGTTGCATTGCCAAAAGAAAAAAAAAAAGTGTCAAGCTATAAAACACATCCCCAAGTGGTAAGCCCACTCGGGAACATGTCACAGTGCTAGGCAACTAGAAAGGGTGCTTCCTTCAAACAATTTACAAGACATTATTATTCAACCAGCTGCAAAGGCTAATGGTCAAGTTCTGCCTTCAGGCACTGAGGCTTCAAAGCGACATGAATAGGCATTTCCCAGGAGCTTCTGAATAGAGAATCTGGGCCTGTTTATGTAAGGTCTGGCCTTTAAAAAGTCAAGACTTTTTATGATTAAGGGAAAAAGTTCAGCCGGCACCCTGTCCTCTACAGTTCAATTATAGGGCAAAGGAAAGAGAAATACATTGAGCACAATTCAGAGATTCTGCCTGGGTTTTCTGCACTGATTCAGATTTCTTCCTTTAGTAGGTCAAGTCAGACCTTCCATGCTAATGTAAGAAATGTATTCTTCTCTTTTTAGTTTTATGTTTATCAGAATCTAAAAAGCTATGGTTAAAGACTATTTTTCAGAATCTGTCATTTGTAAAGCCTGTTCATTTTCAAGTAGATATGCTCCTAAAATGTTCTGAAAATTGAAATGGCAGATAAATCAATTACAAAATTAAGAAAAAATACCATTTTCTACCTCATGTGTTTGCTGATTTTATTTTATTTTTTTAAAGATTTTATTTATTT